TTTTTTTTTTTTTATCGTATCCTTTTCACATTTGTTGGCCTTTGTGCCCTGAACCTGTTGGAATGCGGTTAGAATAATATGTTGTGAAAACCCATTATTTTGCTCCGTTTGATCATATTTCTGTTTTAAACGAATCTTGTTCATGAACAGGTGTTAGCAACAGTGCAATCTGCATCAACACAAATGAGCTGATGTCGAACGGTTTTGTCCGAAATCTCTGAGCTTAATCACACCAGCTGCTGAGAGATGACTCATCTGAGATAAGATTGTAACGGGATGTTACAAGGCAACAGTACCTGGTAAATACCCACATGATTCCTATGATATCATGAAAATTATTTTTCGAGTACTTGCTCAATATCCATTCCCGGAAATTGTTCTCTTTTCCATAGTTAGAATTGGTTTATATTCATTTGACAGAAAGAGAGTCACTCCTCAATTCCAAGAATGAGAGAAAAAAATGATAGGTCACCTCGTTTATTTGCGAGACCATGACGAGTTACCTATCTAAAGGGTTCCGACCATAAAGGAAANCTTCTTGCATTTTGACGTGGCCTGAAGAATATAGTGAATGTACAAAAGTTTGGACGATTTAGAGATTAAACAACTAGATATCAAAGTTAAAAAACGTGGTAAAACAGGAAAAAGGTTTGTAGCAATTTGATGACATATTGGAAGTGGTGCATTCGAAAGGTTTGAGAATCTTATCGCGAAATTTGAAGATTTCTTGAAATTAATCAGAATGATCGCTTAATTTCCTAGGAATAAGATCACGAGTTGAGCTCGCAGCAGAACTTCAAGATACTACTCCTCAAGAGAGGCATTTGGTTGCACCTCCTCAGATCCCCCATCTTACGAAAGAAAAACTTCTCATGGGAATGACCACTGACGTAAACCCCATTCAAGTGATGTCACCTGTTGTGCCACCTTTCGCCTCAGCTCCCATGGTTGCCATGACAGCACCACCAACTATTGTATGGTTACCTTACCCGTCACCACCTCCCTCACCCACAGAGAAGTCCAACGAAGTTGCTGACTCCGTGATTAAGCAGAGCTCTGTTAGCAGAAAGGAACCCACTCCGATAGTAACGTCACTTAGCAACACAACAGTATTACCCGTATGGAGACCGTGGTGACAGACAAGCGCATGAATTAAAGAGAATGCTTGAGACGAAATTGTTTTAAGAGACAAATGAATTAAGACTCGAGAACGCTTACTACAACAAATTTACTTGTCCACTTATGGAAAATGATAACGCTAAATTCTTTCGTGTAGCATAAAATTCCCACCCAGTCCGCATTAAAGAAAAATTAGTTCTGTACCGATTTTGTATATTATTCATGTGTTATCTTCGAGTCACCCTCCTCAAAAAGGCGAAGTGTAAACCACCTAATTTATCCTTCAGTATCATGCAGTGTTCCCTTAAAAAGTCCTTTGTCTGATTAGGTCCGGGACAACGTTTGGTAATTAGTCGCTTTTTGCTCAAGCTTTTTTCAGAAATGAAGATTGAGCAGGTACTCAATTCTAAAATCCAGTCTGAATTGAGAAAAATTAAAAAATATTGTGAACACCGAGAGTTATGTAGGTACTCTCAGGTCACATGCAAATGGATCTCTGATCGCAAGTGCGAATGAAGCCGTAAGCGTGGACTCTCGCAGTCATTTGCTTAAGCCAGTCACGTGGTTAATCTATATGCCCACTGTGTCTCTCTTTTCACATTCGCGTCTAACCTTTTGTTTAGGGACTGCGTGCATGCGTCTATACAACAAATTGCGCGGCGCGTTCCTTATTCAAAAGAAAGATAAAGTCAATCATGAAATTTCTTTAAAAAAATGTGCGTCTCAATCGCAGAGCGCAGCAATGTTCATCCGTTGGAAAATGAACTCTGCTATAACAAATACTGACATGTTTCAAGGTCGTTCTGTAGTATTTTATTGCTCATCTTCACTGCAAATAGTTTCACAATGGTGGCTTTTCCTTTATGGTCGGAACCCTTTAGATAGGTAACTCGTCATGGTCTCGCAAATAAACGAGGTGACCTATCATTTTTTTCTCTCATTCTTGGAATTGAGGAGTGACTCTCTTTCTGTCAAATGAATATAAACCAATTCTAACTATGGAAAAGAGAACAATTTCCGGGAATGGATATTGAGCAAGTACTCGAAAAATAATTTTCATGATATCATAGGAATCATGTGGGTATTTACCAGGTACTGTTGCCTTGTAACATCCCGTTACAATCTTATCTCAGATGAGTCATCTCTCAGCAGCTGGTGTGATTAAGCTCAGAGATTTCGGACAAAACCGTTCGACATCAGCTCATTTGTGTTGATGCAGATTGCACTGTTGCTAACACCTGTTCATGAACAAGATTCGTTTAAAACAGAAATATGATCAAACGGAGCAAAATAATGGGTTTTCACAACATATTATTCTAACCGCATTCCAACAGGTTCAGGGCACAAAGGCCAACAAATGTGAAAAGGATACGATAAAAAAAAAAAAAAAACACAACGGGTTATTTACAGCAGTTGTGTTAATCAACATGAGTTTAACACGATAAAGTTCGTGAACAAGTAAAACAAGTTATCTTGAATAGCTAAAGAAGTGAAAATACCCTTCACATTGATAATTTTTTAAAGAATGTTTCCAAGCGTTGCAAGAATTTTTAGATGGATCATTTACATCTTCAGTGGAGTTCAAATACACGTGTAAGGGAAAACAAAATGAGAAAAGCAACAACCTTGATACAGTGTAAATGAACCACACATTAAAATAATATGTTCTTTCAATTCTTTCACGGATGTACTTCTACTATCCTTTCACGAACGAAACATTTGTGGTCAGTTACGTCCTGGGAACAAAGCAATCTGTAACTTTTCGCTGAGGTCGACTTTAAATTTCCTTATGTGAGTGAACCGAATGATTATTATTGACAAGAATGGCGCGAGGAAATATATTCCTTGTTTTCTTCAGCGGCTATAGAACGATCAACTCAGTCTGGATCTTTTTGTACAAGAATTTTCTCGTGCTTTTTAACTATTTCATAAGCATCGTCTCTCATTACTTCGTAATGAAAAATTTCGTGACATTCGGTGGCATTCTCGCACTTTTTTTCCCATGAGAGATACATAATCTGACGTGTTAAAAAACAAACCAACTATTTGGCAATTATTATCATAGGTGACCTTCGTGCATACGTTCTCCTGTACCCACGTACCTGTGATAAAGTCTCTCCTTGACGCTTAAAATCCGGACGTTATCAGAATTCAGTTTCTTCAACTTGTTGTTGTACCGTTGTTGGGTATGATCGAAGCAATGCTCGTAGATTACCTTGAGGGAAGCCTTTGTTTGTACATCTTGAAGTTACCATTTAAACTTGTCGTTAGTCGCCCAGGTTACTTTCCTCTTTATATTCCCAAAAAATCCTGATGACTTTCCGCTTTTTGGACCTTTTCTGGCTGAATTTGCGCTGATTTCAACTTCATAAAATACCTTGAAATTTACCTCCAACCATCCAGGCTTGGCCGTAGGGGAGGAGCGAGAATAAAATTTTTCCGAGATGAACCGATTAAAAGTGGTAAAAACTACAATCTTAGACAAAACAAAAAGAACATTATGACCTGTCCTCCCTCTATTTTTCTGATGTCAAAATGGTGCGTGTTTTACTTTACTAACCAAGTAAGCTCAGGAGTCCAACAACGTACCCCTTAGAGATCGCACCAGTTTTGCCAAAATTGGACTCCAAGTTTCCTTTCCAACCCCCGTGAATATTTCGTGTGATAGTTTAAGAAATTGGTGTTCTACCACCACTTCATTCCTTTGCTGATAGCGTTTGTAATTGTCATAACCTGTCTACATTATGGTTACATTATGGTTATGACTGGCATAGCTATCTGATTGATTATCCGGGGAAAAGGTCAAAGGTTACAATCTCAAAAGTGAACAGCTGGTCAAACAGAGTTGAGGCAAATTATTTACAGATTTTCATGACGATCTTCAGGTTTTTCCTTTGAAATAGAATCTGCACTGAGATTTTTTTGTCAAACTTTACCTATCGGTTACTTATTGCATTGGAATGTACATTTTGAGATGAAAAAGCAACAGTACCTGGTAAATACCCACATGATTCCTATGATATCATGAAAATTATTTTTCGAGTACTTGCTCAATATCCATTCCCGGAAATTGTTCTCTTTTCCATAGTTAGAATTGGTTTATATTCATTTGACAGAAAGAGAGTCACTCCTCAATTCCAAGAATGAGAGAAAAAAATGATAGGTCACCTCGTTTATTTGCGAGACCATGACGAGTTACCTATCTAAAGGGTTCCGACCATAAAGGAAAAGCCACCATTGTGAAACTATTTGCAGTGAAGATGAGCAATAAAATACTACAGAACGACCTTGAAACATGTCAGTATTTGTTATAGCAGAGTTCATTTTCCAACGGATGAACATTGCTGCGCTCTGCGATTGAGACGCACATTTTTTTAAAGAAATTTCATGATTGACTTTATCTTTCTTTTGAATAAGGAACGCGCCGCGCAATTTGTTGTATAGACGCATGCACGCAGTCCCTAAACAAAAGGTTAGACGCGAATGTGAAAAGAGAGACACAGTGGGCATATAGATTAACCACGTGACTGGCTTAAGCAAATGACTGCGAGAGTCCACGCTTACGGCTTCATTCGCACTTGCGATCAGAGATCCATTTGCATGTGACCTGAGAGTACCTACATAACTCTCGGTGTTCACAATATTTTTTAATTTTTCTCAATTCAGACTGGATTTTAGAATTGAGTACCTGCTCAATCTTCATTTCTGAAAAAAGCTTGAGCAAAAAGCGACTAATTACCAAACGTTGTCCCGGACCTAATCAGACAAAGGACTTTTTAAGGGAACACTGCATGATACTGAAGGATAAATTAGGTGGTTTACACTTCGCCTTTTTGAGGAGGGTGACTCGAAGATAACACATGAATAATATACAAAATCGGTACAGAACTAATTTTTCTTTAATGCGGACTGGGTGGGAATTTTATGCTACACGAAAGAATTTAGCGTTATCATTTTCCATAAGTGGACAAGTAAATTTGTTGTAGTAAGCGTTCTCGAGTCTTAATTCATTTGTCTCTTAAAACAATTTCGTCTCAAGCATTCTCTTTAATTCATGCGCTTGTCTGTCACCACGGTCTCCATACGGGTAATACTGTTGTGTTGCTAAGTGACGTTACTATCGGAGTGGGTTCCTTTCTGCTAACAGAGCTCTGCTTAATCACGGAGTCAGCAACTTCGTTGGACTTCTCTGTGGGTGAGGGAGGTGGTGACGGGTAAGGTAACCATACAATAGTTGGTGGTGCTGTCATGGCAACCATGGGAGCTGAGGCGAAAGGTGGCACAACAGGTGACATCACTTGAATGGGGTTTACGTCAGTGGTCATTCCCATGAGAAGTTTTTCTTTCGTAAGATGGGGGATCTGAGGAGGTGCAACCAAATGCCTCTCTTGAGGAGTAGTATCTTGAAGTTCTGCTGCGAGCTCAACTCGTGATCTTATTCCTAGGAAATTAAGCGATCATTCTGATTAATTTCAAGAAATCTTCAAATTTCGCGATAAGATTCTCAAACCTTTCGAATGCACCACTTCCAATATGTCATCAAATTGCTACAAACCTTTTTCCTGTTTTACCACGTTTTTTAACTTTGATATCTAGTTGTTTAATCTCTAAATCGTCCAAACTTTTGTACATTCACTATATTCTTCAGGCCACGTCAAAATGCAAGAAGTTTAAGAAATCCGATAGGACGATGGCCGTGCGTGGGTGTGTTTATGGGGAGGGTACAAAACGTGGACCTCCCCTACTGGACCCCCTAACTAGATTAAGAAAGGATGAAAACAATAAAAACCTGGTGCGACTTTGGAGGTCGTCATCAAAGTGGCATTTCATGCTACAACCATTTGCCTTAATCTTCAAAAAGTGCTACTAGAAATGTTAATTCTTCCGGGTGCTATCGTGGGTGCCATTTTGTTTATAAGTTAGAGTGGGGACCTCGGCATTAGGCTACAAAACTTCCGGTGTTTCCCCTGATCTGATCGGCCGCTCCGATCAGATTTTTCCGCCATTTTGATTGCATCATCTTATATCCTTGGCTACCACCGCTGACCAAAACAATTGTGGTCATCCATACACGGAGCTCGAATTTTGAAGGTAGGTGTGTGATTTTTTTCGCATTTTGTATGCAATCTCGACATTCCTGAAGTCATCGATAAACAATCACGACATTTTCTTGCCAAACAATCACATACCTTATCTTCAACATTCCACCATAGAGCTCCGTGTATGGTGACCACAATTGCTTTGGTCAGCGGTGGTAACCAAGGACATGAGATGATGCAATCAAAATGGCGGAATAATCTGATCGGTCGATCAGAGGAAAGACCGGAGGTTTTGTAGCCTTGTGCCGAGGTCCCCACTCTAACTTAGAAACAAAATGGATTCCACAATAGCACACGGGAGAATTAACATTTCTAGTGGCACTTTTTGAAGATTTAGGCAAATTTTTGTAGCATGAAATGCCACTCTGATGGCGACCTCCTAAGTCGCACCAGGTATTAATTGTTTTCATCCTTTCTTAATCCAGTTAGAGGGGTCCAGAAGGGGGGGCCACGTTTTGTACCGTCCCGTGTTTATGTTCCACGTGAACGCCGTCAGCATTAGATTTATTCAGGAATGTATAATGAACAATACCTCTGCCAATCTAAACTTAAGTTTAAGGCAAAATTTCAACTAAAATTATTTGTTCAACCAACCTCGCTGCATTCTTTTTCTTGCTTGGGTTTCTTTCAGAAACTGCACAGCCATCTCTAGAATGTCAGCTTTTTCCATCTTTGAGTAACGAGAAATCTGAATAGATGAGAAATCGATTGTATAATTAATTAGACTTCAATTAAAAGAATTGCCGATGACTTATTAGAGAAATTTATACGAAAGTGGTTTAGGTGACAAAAAAAGGAAGTTTCACCAAGTATTTTTGCGAACTTACATCTTTGTTGAGAGCTTCTAACACCAAGTGTTTAATTTCGTCCAAGCTACCATTTATTCTATCACGTCTTAACTTCTCAATTCTTGGCTTCTGTGCCTGAAAGTTAAACATCATAAATATTTAGGATAACTGATCATCCTTTATAGAACACGGTTGGATTTTACATACATCTTTTTTGATTCTTAACAGCTTTTTGTAGAAGCGCGCTCCAACCTGCGCTTCAATTAGTGCTGAATGCGCAGCCTTGGTTTCCATTCTTCCGAATCATTCCTATGGCGACTCTTGAAAGTAATACTATTTTGGAAAATCCATTAAAAAAAAACAATTTTTCTCTTCTTTGATGTGTATTAGTTATATAACTTCTAGGAGTAAAAAGCCAATTAATGGACGATGCTGGCCACCCCTCAAACTTGTTTGGCTTTTTCAGCTAAACCGTTTCAGTGCACAAAACAGTCAAGTGACGTTACGCAAATTCTTGCAGAAAAATGAAGGAAAAAACTAACCTTTCTCCGTTCCACTCGAATTTTACCGATGATTTCCGTAGTATCGTGCCCTTGATGTTCCATAATTTCAAAATTAAAGCTTAATTTCCCCGGGCGCGTGTTATAAGGCTGGTGTCTGAAAGCGAATACTTTGTGTCTTGGTACTACGTTAGCTATTTAACGTCAACAATGCCACCTCCTCGCAGAAAATGCTTTCGCAATGACTTCATTGTCAAATATTTATAAACACTTTAGAAGAAACATAACGTTAAACAATAACCTTAATAGTTAAGGGCTCTCATATTAACTTGACAATAGCAGCGACCGTGGGAACGTCCAATTCTGATTGGTCCCTGCTGAATAGGCACATGCCGACCGCTTGCAACAAAACGACGAAGGAGGTAACCCACGCGTGACGAGTGTGAGAAAAGTCATTCGATTGGTCAGTTGCTTTCAAACCTAAACCCGTTTAATTAGTGGCAGTACTTCGAAAGAAGCTCTGCTCAATAACAGCGTACTTCTCATAACTGCAATCAGCGATACCAACCTGTTTTCGTTTTTTTTTTGTTGTTTTGGTTTTTTTACCGCCAAACGACTCCCCGTCCAACTTCGTAGCACCACCAACAATTTCTTTTCTCACGGAAGTTATGTACGCCTGGACGCATTTCGCTCCACGTGTGTTTATAAAAGGGAATTTGCTTTTTTTCTTGTGTCTTTAGTGACAAGCTTTTGTTGTACGTTTCACACGGGGAGACATACAAGATTTGAATCACAAAAGCGCGGTTTATTTTCCCACGGTAAGATCGCTTCTCGGCGTCTATGTTTGTGCTTCACTCTGTACTTGAGCCGAAAGTAAAAGCGAGTTCCAAGGATGGTTTCGATGCTGGTGGTACGATAAATGAGTTGATTAAGCGTCAGTTTAAAAAACATGTTTTCAAAGCTTTTTACCATGTTTCTCTTTTTACATCGGAAAACAATCCTACAGAGAGGAAAATGCTTAAGATGTTTTGGCTATGTGTCATGGAAGCTAATGGCTCCCGAGGTCATTTTACTATTTGTGTTATTTCGTTCCGCAACAAAATGTCATTTGTTAAGGCGAAAATTAGAAAAGAAAAGGCCAGTTTTGGGCTTGCAAAGCGTGCGGTAAAATTCTTGTTTAAAATTAGTTCGATACGGGCATTATGATACAGTGGACAAGTTTAAAACTTTGATAAAAGTTAAGAAACGAGTGCCGGTCAGCAAATCTACATCAGATGATATTTTCGAACAATGATGAAAAGAGAAAGAACGACTAAAGTGAGAAGTTTGACTCGAGCTCATTTGAATCGCAGAGCTAAAGCGAAAGTGGGAATTTTTAGATGAAGTGAAAAGTTATGAAAGGAAATGGACTAAATCTATATATTTAACAAAGACAATTTTTGACAGAGATCTCAAAAACAAGTTTAGAGCTTACTACGCAATTTTTTTTCGACAAGTCTAAAAAAATTGATTCGTTGTGCAGAAACTCCTGAAAGACTTCTGTGAAACTTTTAAATTCATAAGACGGTTTACTTTGTAAAAAGCTCGCTTTATATCACCATGACTCCTTTTATACGTAGTATATTTTATACAGCTCGTTTCTTGCTTACTGAGACAAAATCTCGGGAGGAAATCAACCTAAAAGTATTCCGACTGTCACTTAAGACGAGTAAGACCAACGGAGGGTGGTTAAGATACTAAATTAAGTGACTTTCAACGCCTAAGAGACAAATTATCACAGATGTGCGCTCATTTCCAAGCTAGGGACATCTTTTTTTTAAAGATAAGTTTCAGTTTGCTTAGCATAGCCGTGTTTCACTTTACCCACCAACTTGCTTAAATCGGCTGAAATGTTTTCAAAATACCTCGGAAACAAACTCTAATTTGTATTAGAAAGCTTGTACGTGACTCAGCGCCAATTGTCTTCATGCGATTTCCTAAAACGCTAATTGGTCTTTAAATGGAAGCGCATACGAAATCAAAATAGAGATTACTGACATTATTACCAGCGTGTTAATTGCTATACACAACAAACAATTCGCGTTCTTTGATTACCTTTTCGGCCGTTCAACGTCACAATAATAGAATCGACCTGACCTAACGAAACAAGAACAGGCAAGTGTGTGAAATTTGAATATCTGTAAAGACTCAAGTCCTGCGATGAGCAAAATAAACCCATGCTGTAAAACTCCTTAGATGTCTCGTGTGCTACGCAACATCCATTTTCAAAAAGAGGCCGTTTAAGGACATAATTCGGAATATTTTAAGCTCTTTGGTTTTTGACAATTGACTAAAACATTGAATAATATTTGTTCATAGCATTCGTGCATCATTGTGAAGATGGCGGCTGGATTTTCGTCATGAATTTGACAATTGGACTTCACCGTCTTGGTTCTTTATGCGATATAGTTCCGCCGGATCGCCCCTTGAAAAGCCCCGAAATGCGGTATAAAGTTAATATTTACACTCCCAAACCTCGCCCCCATCCTGGACTCATTTCCTTCGTAATCCCGCCTTCTGAGTTCTTAGTGGATCTCACAAAAACTATTGGGGGAAGATGAACAGCAACCGACGAGGATTATCGCTGTTTGGAAATGACAAAGTTATAGAAATCTAGGCTGGGTTTTTTACGTTTGTCATATTGTGACACAATTTTCTTTTCTCTACAGTAAAAAACGAAATAGCTCAAAGAGCGCCAACGACCGAGAAATACTTACAATCTATAACTAGAATTTGAAAAGTTTCAAAGAGTTTTAAGAGATTCTCTATGAAGTTAACCGTTAAAATTGACAAATATCAGCATAACCGTGTTTCACTTGACCTGCCATCTTGCTGAAATCGGCTTAAATGTTAGAAGGCCTTAAATACAAATTCTGATTTGTACTAGAAAACTTTTCATTGTACGTGACCCAGCGTGAATTGTCTTCTTGCTATTTCTAAAACACCAATTGGACTTTAAATGGAAGCAGTGAAAAACGAAATAGCTCAACGATCGAAGAATATTCACAATCTATTAATAGAATTTGAAAAGTTCAGAGTTTTAAGAGGTTCTCAGTGGGGTTAACCCTAACTGTTTTATTTTTTTCCAAACTGCGATATCATTTTCCTAATGTCATTTTAACCGTCAGCCAAAATGGCCAAAAATGTTACCGTTGGCCGTAAAAGGGCCAAACCTTTTGCTGTTAACCGTAAAAGCCGCCAACCTATTGACGCCCCTTTTGAAAGCCACCATTTCTATAAGCTTTCTCATCTCTTCTTTTTCACTTCAAAAGCTTGAGGATTAAGACATCCGGCCATATAGTTTTCTTTATTGTCAAATTTCAAAGGATCTCCATTTGCTCTCAGAGCTCACAGGATTAGTAATGCTAACGTGTGTTGCTGATGATCGCCTTTTCGAGACAGATAGGTTCATTCTTCATTTATAAATACATCACAACTATTGTTCATCAACAAAACTCCATTGAAAAACCCATAATTAGGCCAAATACGAAGGATAGAAATATTTAGTCGGGTATTAAGTTTTTTTGAGGTATGCAGCATACAATACTTTCATAAAATCCTGAACATATCGGGTTTTTCAAGGGACTTAAAACGTGCAAATTCATTTTTACTCGGGCTTCCTGTGGAATGCCCGAGTTATAAATTGGGCTTCGTTGTTTTCCGTCTTGAGACGCAAAACGCAGTCTAGCAAGTAAAGCGCATGCGCTGAGTATGCTTTTCAGCTGTGAAGTAAGAAAACAACTATCCGGCATTCAATCATGAAGTATATACCCAGGTAAGCTTCAAAGCACATGGTTATTATGGCGGCCAAAAAGATGCCCCGTGATTCTACAAACAAAAGCACACACTGTTCGGGGTAGACCCACACTGAAAGATGTCGAGTGTTTTCGGATATCAAGCAGAAATTAGATTAAACAACACTCTTCGTCAGATTACATGCCATTACAAACATTCCTAAGCAAAGACACCCGAGTTCACGCGGTTATGCGTCTAGTTTAATATAATGTTCACAGCTATCAGCCGAATATAGCATCAAGGCCTGATGGCGTACAGCTTGAATTAAATATCGCTGGGCCGGCGATATTCGAGAAATACGGACAAAGTTATGTTAAGGTATGCCAAGCTATGTCAAGAAATGACAAGTTCGCCTGCATTTTAATTCCTGGAAGTAGTTATTACGTAATTCACACTTAAAGAAACGAATTGCTAAAATTTGCATGAGCTAGGCTCTATCTTCTCGATGCAATTCTGAATTTTCAGAACTAAAACACAAGAAATGTCTATGATATTCTGGGAGGAATCAAGAGTCAGATCGTGAATACAATCTGAGCTCTACCATTCCGTCGGTGCAAAATGTTTTACCAGTGCTGCAGCTGGGAAATTATGTAACGTGGTGATGAGCTCAGGGGAACAGTTCTTTTTTCATTAATCAATAAGCAAGAAAAGGATATCTAAAGATGATCTGTACTTTGATCAAAATTAACCAATAGCTAAGTTGCGTATGATCATGTTTTTTTATCCACTGAATTTAACCGGAGGCTTTCAGTGCATCACGTGCCCACTTTGGATCTCTCAAAAGGAAAAATTTGGTGTTATAAAAAGTAAACAACTCAATGCATGATTTTAGTTCTACAACTAAGTTGAAATTGTAAATTGGCCACCGTAACGAATAACTGAAAAGCTGACGTTTCGAGCGTTAGCCCTTCGTCAGATCGAATGGAGAAATTGTGGGTTGTATGTGGGCTTATATGCAGAAAGCGGATCTACGCCATTGGTGGGAACATGGCGACGAGAAAAACACGAATAAATTAGTGGAATGAACAGCGTTCGTTAATACGTTAATCAAAAAAATGTTTGAGGGCCAGAAGGCTTTCGCCATTAGGAATGACAGTGTAAAGAGATGTAATGTCCATGGTGAAAAGAAGTTTGTCTTGGCCAAGAAAAGAAAATTGTATATATCAACAAAGTTGAACTGGTAAATTGGCCACCGTAACGATTACAAAAGCTGAAGTTTCGAGCGTTAGACCTTCGTCGGAGCGAATAGAGGAATTGTGGGTTGTGTGTGCTTTTAAAGGCAGAAAAAGGAGCTACGTGATTGGTGGGAACATGGCAACGAGGTGCACCTCCGCCAATGTAACCTATTGCATAACTTGCACTTATTGCAAAAAGATATACATTGGCGAAACAGGCAGAAGACTAGGTGACCGATTCCGAGAACACCTTCGCGACGTGGAAAAGAATGACAAGGACACATCGAAACCAGTCGCTAGACATTTCAATTTACCTAATAATTCTAAGTAACATATGGCAATCTGCGGTCTTTCCTTACACTTAGGTAGCACGGAAAGCCGTAAAACTCTTGAACAAAAGCTCATCTTTCAAACCGGCAGTCTAAATCCCACAGGGATCAACGAACGCTTTTCATTCCACTAATTTATTCGTGTTTTTCTCGTTGCCATGTTCCCACCAATAACGTAGCTCCATTTTCTGCCTTTAAAAGCACACACAACCCACAATTCCTCTATTCGCTCCGACGAAGGGCTAACGCTCGAAACGTCAGCTTTTGTAATCGTTACGGTGGCCAATTTACCATTTCAACTTTGTTGATATATCCAAATTATTTCGTTAC